AAAACAAATCAGGTGACAGTACACATCCTTGTCGTACGCCCCTCTTTATGCTTTGAAATGTACATAAACAGTTGTTAATTCTTATAGCTGCTGTTTGCTGCCAATACATATTCTTTATTATTCGTAGATCTTTCCATCAATGTTTAATTTTTCTAACAGTTTGATTACTTCTTCATGCTTCACACAGTCAAATGTATAGTCTATGAAGCATATGTACAAATCAGTCTTTACTACAGCTCTTTCTGACAATGTCCTTAGGATGTATATGGTATTGTTTGTAACTTTTCCGTCTACAAATCCTCATTGTTCATCGCTGATTTCTGATTTAATTTTGTTTCTTATTCTTCTCATAATTATTCTCAGTAAAATCTTAGTCATGTGATGCTGAATCAACTAGTGTATGTATTGCGTGTGTAATGAAACATGACTGAAAGGTAACGAGTGTGGACGGTAGTAGACGTGGAATCTGTACTTGATAGATATCATCATCTCTTACTGGACCTACTAGCCAATAGTAGACATTGACTGGACCAGATTACCTGTGAAAGTTCAATAAAGAATATAACCAGATATCGTCTACTCGTTACCAACTGTGTGCATTCATAATGTCATCTATGTCATATAGATGAAAAACCCATAGCAACCAGTCAGAACACTCAGGAGACAATATCCCAATGCCACTTTCTTAATCTATCCGCCATCATTTCTCTTGGTCTGCCCCTGCCTCTTCTATCAGTGATCTTTCCAGTCGCCCAATATTTTCAAGTGCTCCTTTTCTCATCACATGACCGAAGAATTGTTTTTGTCTCCTTCTCATTGTTGTATATAATGATCTACTTTCATTAGCCATTTCCAGGCTATCATTGTTAGTTATTCTGACAATCCAAGGTATTCGCAACATCTTCTCAAGGGCCACATCTCACTTGCCTCCAAACTCTTCTTAATTTGCTTGCTCTGATGGTTGGTCAGACTATCTTTCGAATATATGTGAAATAATCAATCTATCAAATAAATGAATAAATCAAGAATTGACATGACTGCACTAGGGACATTTCCACACTTGCTACAAATCTTTCATTAGTATCTAACGAATAGTCGACATGTTAATATTACCAGCTGCAACATTATTTTAAAAGTCCGCCTACGCTTCTCTCTGTGTCGAACATTCTGCACACCCCCCACCCCTCATTTTTCCACCTCTATTCACGCCCCGTTGAATCGGACTTTCACTTTACGGACTCTGTTCTATTGCACTGTCCATTTGATTCCAGGGCAGCTTCGTTTTATCACTTACGAGGCGCAGCCGCAGCCAATCTATCAAACTGCTCATTACCCAGCACATTTGAATTCACCGTACCCAAAAAAAAGCCAAGATATTTTTCCAATCTGAGTCTTTTCAACAAATTAATCCAGTCTACGACGCCACTTTCTATTTTTGGTAAGCCTGCTCTGTTAGTCCATTGCAATGACAACATGTTGAGCTGTTCTGCTCTCAAGCCACGGAAAGCGGTAGTTACTGCCTCTACCTCCATTCTCATACTGGATGCTCTGACCTTGAAGTCGAGTCTGTCTGTTTTCAGTCCTTCACATTTGCAATAAGACCCCACTCATCCCTCAACGCTGTATATATAATAATGTCAATGGGAGTGTGCATTTTCATCAAACTTACTACCGCTGTCTCTATTTTGTTAACTTTTAATTTCCAGCATCCTTGATCCAAGGTAACCATCATTCTGTGCAAGGCTATTTTTCTAGGCCACGCTGTGATTTATTTCTCGACATGCGCTATCTTGTCAGTAGTACAAACAATTCCAATTGTGATCTCTGCCTGTGCCATCCAAGAGCTACCACTTTTCAGTCGATATCCCTTGCTCTTCCCTAAGGCCTCATGCAGAAAATATTTCTTGTCCGTTGCGACTTTAAGATGTATTTTCGCTTGAAACATCTCGTATCTTTCAGATACGGATGGTAATGCAAGTATGTGCCGCATGCACACAACTGGCGTATTCCATGTATTCTGAAGTCGGGTATGCGAACACGAAAAGCATGAATGATGAAGATTTGAGATAAGTTGCTTCAACCAGAGCTTCAGAACAGCGCAATGTCCCATAATTTGGTGCACAACTGTTTAATTTCACTTCCACGGCAAGGCAAAGATCACCCGAGACTCGGCGGTTAAAGGATTATCAATGTACAAAATACTTTTGGCAAGGTGCTGGGGAAGATTAGTGCTGTCAAACTGCAAATGTTTTAGAAACGGGGAAATCTGCCAAAAGGTCTGAGCCGTTACCGGCCAAGGAAAGATACCTGATCAAATGCAGTTACTTTTGTTTTTGATGTTCATGAAGGGTTCCAGAGTAAATAGGAAATGGTAGTGACAGCATTTGGTCCTAAAGATCCATACACTAGAGTCAGAACGACATATTGATGCGCTCATGGAAAAGGGGGCATGTCCTTAAATTGTGAACTGGAAAGCAGCCAGCTGTCCTGTCTTTACGTATGGTTGCCCTTCACCTCGTACATAGACTTCAGAGTCACGCAATTATCGCAGGGATCAGCAATTTCACCAGTGATCTTTAATATGTACACAAGCAAGACTGCAGACCTTGGAGGATCAGGGATTGGAAAGACTTTGACATTATCAGATTATAATCATACTTATAGGCAGGGGAGTGGTGAACAGCTGACAGCTCAAGAGCCACAGGCAGCTGTAGACAAAGTGACTGACTATTGTGCAGTGATGGATGCTGTCACCCACCCAGAAAAGGCGGCTGTTTTATAATGCTCTCTAGACAATATATTCGTCCCAAACCTACAAATAATTATAGAAACATCAAAAGAGAAAGCAAACGGGGAAACCTAGGTATCATTTTCAAAGGAAGCCTGTCCTTCAGGATCACGTGATGCATCATCATGATGTAGCAGGTCCTTTGCAGAACGTCGCTCTCATCACAGTCTGCCTGTAAGAAACTCGGTCTCTTGCCAGTTTTCCTGCCTCATGCACTTTCACACTCAAGGAGTCACTTATATCCTGTGCCCATCTTCGTGTCGGTCGGCCTCTGCTCCTCCTTCCTGGTACCATGCCTTCTGCTATAATTTTTTTCCAATCCGTCGTGGCGCTTGATATGACCAAAATATTTCAGCTTTCGAGAAAGTCACGTGGTGCAGTTGCAGTAAAATGTCAAAAAAGACTCAATGCACTCAAGCTTATGGCAGGGATGGACATGAAACAAAGAATGTTGTTAATGTTTTAGCACGCGATCCTCTCGATGATAGATTATGGATTTGGAATGATTACCGTCTGTAAGAGTCAGCTGACGAAACCTGAATGCATGCAGAATGAATCTATGATGGTATTTCTGGGATGTACAAGAGATACATCAGTAGTAGTATATACGGGATATATATATTTCACTGGCGACTATTATGGATAGGCTCAAAGTGTTACAAGCAATGTCGTATCTCAGAGTAGCTGCAGACAAGAAGCACCTTCCGTATGAGGTCATATATAGAGCTAAGTGTCACCGATTGAAAAGAAGAAGTTTTTTTTTATGTAGGGCCAGCTGAAGACACAATTAGACATTTGTACAGGCTTGAGAATATTGAGGAAAGAAATGCGTCAAAGTGTTGGAATAACAGTCAGGGTTCTCATCACATTAGGTTGTGAGTGTAGAGCGCTGCAAAATCAAAAGATCAACAAACGATTCATGACAATTTCCACCCATGTGAAGGTGATTATCTGTATATATATATATATATATATATATATATATATATATATATATATATATATATATATATATATATATATATATATATATAATATATATATATATATATATATATATATATATATATATATATACAAATGGAGTGCATAGCGGTCCGCAGGGAAAGGCGAATGTCGCAACAAAGACTGACATATGATACTAGATCTGGTTCGAGAATGGAGGCAGAGACGGTCACTGCAGCCTTCTGCTGGCATGGGAACCAGATGCACACACAAGACGCAAATGTAAGTGACTCATAGAACATGTTTAGAAATGTGGACATAGACATACTGTATAGCAAGCATGGCTTACAAAGTACAGGGTAGGTATCTTTTTGAAATTTTTTTTCCACGTCATGCCTGTGTTTTAGGAAACGAACAGGCAGATAAACTGGCTGATTCTGCACAACTCGGTGGTAAATTGATGCATGACTAGCCAGTTGTTGTAGGGGTCCGTTGCGAGAGAATGAACAGTGCGCACAAATAGTTCATTTCGGTCTGAGGAGAATGGTGCCGTTAGAAGTGACCAGGGAGTTTGGCCGACGGTAATCAATCACTCAAAGAAAGGGCGAGACGGATATACAATCAAACTTTTACTGATGCCATCTGAGTCGGAACTCTGCGTTCGCTACTGTTGAAGATGGGGACTGTGTGTTTATGGGGATGTCCTGAGGGCTGTAATGTCGATTCTTGATTTGTTTGTAATTTAAAAGTGGTTCCGTGCCGACCTGTTATCTGGTGATCTCATTCCTGATTTTATATCTTCTGATCACTCCTGCAGCCCTTCTTAGACATTTCATTTTCATGGTCACTACTTTGTTTTTCCGTCTGGCTGTTGTGTGGTTTTTTTTTAAGGCAAATTTACGTCCAGTAGTTTGCCATTTCTTCCTGGACGGTCGGCTTTCTTGATACCACTGTCGAACCAACGCAACTGGGATCGAACCCGGCATCCCGGCATTACGAAGTGTTCGCATCGACTTAGCCACAGAAGGGTTGGAATAAATATTCTTTATATGAAATGTTTTTTCTTCCTTCTGATTGAATTTGTCTGCAGCGCGAGAGAAACCTGGCAGTTGTTGCCGTCTGCAACCAAAACATCGCGACACATGGGGAGGCTGGAGGAGCAGGTGTACTGGAGTTTTCGCCACTTTATATGTGTTGTGGTGCTTTCTGTTTCTTGAACAGTTGTATATTTTTTTTCCTTCCTGATATCTCGCAACTTTGTTGAGACATGCCGGTGTTTGTAGCTAACAGCGAAACTAGGAGCAAGAGAGCAGGTATAAATATTTCATTTTCAGTACAGGAATACTGAATTATTCATTGAATATGATGAATATTCAGATTCTTTTGAGTTTGAGGTCCAAAACAAAACTTTTTATTTAATTAAATGAAACAATCGATTTTGTATTATTATTATTTTAATTTTAAAGTTAAAAAAAAATACAAATTTATAAATCATAATATTAATTAATATAGACATTTAATACCAATAATAAATACATTATCATGTTAGTTAACAAATTTAGTAAACAAACTGAACACTGAAACATTTCTTAAACTTTTTACTCTTTTTATTAAAAAAAAAAAAAAAATCTATATATATGCCATTGTTTGATTGGAAAAGCAATGACAAAATCATTTTACCTGAAATCCAGTTACCTCACGACATCACCCTTTTCTCACAGTAAACATCATTATCATTTCCTATAGATTATAATTATTATAAACCTCTGAGCAGTAACTATACTATAGCCAGGTATTAGCCTACCGTGCTGGGCACTTGGCTTCCTATTCTTTTTCTTCTTGCATATTGATCTTGATCTTTTTTCTCCTCTCCCCCACCCCCCTCTTTTCCTGACTGCAGCTCTAAATATAATTTCATTTGATTTGTGTCTAGTTGAAGTCTCTTCTTACTGTATTTAGCTTTCTCAAACTTTCTGCACCCTCTCTCGTTCTCCCTGACCCCCTTACCCCATCTGTCTCTCTTCCTACCTGACTCATGTGGTCAGTTGAGAAAGAACGAACTGACATAGTTACAGCACTCAGGACATCCCATAATTGCTCTGCCACTGTCCTCATCTTCTGCAGCCACTGTAGAGTGCCCTGACAGTGCTGATAGTATATATATTAGTAATAGTAGTGGTCGGATCATTTATTATATCTTCTTTTAACAGTGGCCCAGATCTGCTGGTCAATCCCTGCTTCACCATTCATCCACACCTTAATCATCTAAGATTGCACGTCTGCACTGCTCACTTGCTCCTAAATTACTTTAACCACATCCAGCCTGTCGTGCATCAATTCACCACCCAGTGTTGCACGATCAGCCATTCTTTCTGCCTGTTAATTTACCAACACACCTACAATCCCAGGGGGAAAAAAGTACTACCTCAACTCTGATAACGTATGCTTTTCAATTATAAATCTGTGTTTAATGTGCTACCACAGTTGCTGTTCGTTTTTCCAATGGTTTACTGAACGCTGAAGACCAGGATCGTGTGGCTTTCAAGTGCTATACCCACAAGGAAACCAGGTCGAACCCTGCTCTGGCAACAAATCATATAGTTGTAAGTTTGTCATTTTGTTAAAATATTCTTACCTTCCATTGTCTTTGTTGGGAGTTGTCTGTGCTGGGCAATAGGTAATAAAGTGATTAGATATTTAGATGTGTACAGTATGTAGCTTTAAGAAGAAGAATATATAATGGTGTTAATAGTTTCAGACATTACTACATCACTCACAAAACAAAATTGTAGGTATTAAATGCTGCAGGGGTTCCAAGATAACTCATCAAAGCCTAAAGGAAGACACTGATAAAATATTTTGGATATCTGAACACAGCAAGGTGGCATACAGAATTCAGCAGTAGGTGAGTAAAATACTAGCAGAGATGTTTATAATGATAGAAAGATGTATGCGGAGAACTTGAATATCAGTCAACCGGATACCATCTACATTAAAGAAGATTGACTGCAGCGGATCTTTAGAACACTTTATCTTGGTTCTCTCTCTCTCCCTCTCTCTTAGGACATCTGTATTTTAATTTGTTTTTGTTTCCACGTCTCCAGTAACTCAGTTTGATTTCTGGTTGCTTATTCATTGTTCAGGTTTCTGTACCATACATCATGAAAGAGTTAAAACTATTTTGACTGTATGGCCCAGGTCCATTTAAACCCCCACCCCCTCTTCATAAGGGGTTTCTTTGTCACATTCACCGGCTGTAAACTCAGATGGAAAGTTCTGGTTGTTCGTCCACTTATGGACTTTATTTTTATTCCAGAACTTAAATTTTGCATGCACGCCCATTTTACGGATCTGGCTTGTTTGTATGCAGACTGTTGGTTCCTTGCCTTGCAAGAAGATGCACTCCTTCAGAAAGAACCCCTAATTAGCCGTCTTTTGGACATGTTTGTTAGGGAGATAGTAGGTCTACTTCCCCACCCAGCTGGGCCCCAGTACCCACATGAGGGGGTTTAAAACATGACCACACAGTATGCTAGCCAGGAGAGGCCCAGCAAAAGGAGTATTGACATATAACTTCACTGGTCAAATATTCTCTGAGGATTTAGTCTGTATTACTACAACTCTTGTAATAATACGGAGCATTCTCCATTAACCGTTGTAAGATACCAGACTGTCCCCATCATACAATGCTGCAGAACAAAAATTGTGTTTATTGATGTGGTCACCTATGCAAGATGACAAGGCTATTTTTGCTTTTTAGGATTGTATCATATCTGCTTCTGTAACTCCCGTTTTTCCCATGGGGGTTTGTGATCCTATTTCGGGGAGAAATGTATAAACCCACAGTACCCCTAACGAGTAGATCTACTAATTAGGGGAGTTTTCGTTAAAGTCGGATTGCATCTGCCTGTGAGGCCAGAGCGTACAGTCTGCTTAAGAATAAACTAGATCTGTAAAAGGGATATGCACACAAAACTCAAGTTCTGAAACAAGACTAAAGCTCAGAAGTGGACGAACAACCAGAAACTGTCCGCCGGTAAAGGTGAAGAAAACTACCTGTTTTATGTATGTTATGTCTGGTAACTGACAGTTTTCTTTTTCAACCGTTCTAGACTGCCGAGGTGGATGGTATGCTTTATGTTGGTAAAAATTTTGGGCCAGCAAACAGATTCTCAACAGAGAATTGTGAGTAAGTAGACATTTGTTGAATCTGCTAATCAGTTATACCATACAATCTCTGGTTAGTGAGACTTGAGTCATGTTGTGAGTGCCCAGTCCTGTTCAACTGCAGAGCAGTTCACTTATGCTAAATTCTCCTGAACTGCATTTGACTAACTGTAGTTTTTTCTTCACATTCTGTCTATAGGAGCCAAATTTATAAGACTTTCTAACTTTAGAAAAGCCATTAAGTCTCAATATGTAAAGTGATTTTTGGTTATCGGGACCAAAACCCTTTTAATCTGAGGTATTTGTTATGTCAGTACTATGCACCCTAAAATTGTTTTCAACTTTACAGCAAGAATGGGCAAACTATGGCCAGCTGATAAATTTTTACCGGCCCGTGAGACTGGTATAAAATTACTATATCATCTGGCCTTTGAGCTCACAGAAAAGCAGAACACATAATCATATGTGCGTATGCAGAAAAAAGCAAATCCAAATATTTGTTTTCAAGGGATAGCCTAACAATGATAACTAGAAACTGGTGTTGCAAAATCTTTGGTTCATGTTGCGTATAACTCAGGCATATTAGACGACAGTGTCTATTGGTAGATTTCTATATCTTTTTCTTCTTCGCATTCACCAGCTGTAAACTCTGACGGAAAGTTCTGGTTGTTCATCCACTTCTGGACTGCAAACCTGAGTGTTGCGTGTGCATCCGTTTTAGAGATCTGACTCATTTGTATGCAGACTGCTGGTTCCTTGTCTCTCAGGCAGATGCACTCGGACTTCGAAGGAAGCTCCCAATTAGTCGACTCTTACGACAAGCTTTTAGGTAGGCAGCGGGTCCATTCATGTTTTCCCTATAACAGGACCCCAGAACCCACACAGGGATCTTGATAATAAAATATGTGGCGACACCATTCTTTTTCTCTGTTTAGCAAGTTTATCGATCAAAAGAGTGCTGTAACCTGTCTTGGCATCAGTTTTCCAAGACAGGATTGTAACCGCAAATAGTACTAGATCACACACGCACAATGGATTTTTTTTAAAAATGGCACACAACCAGGTTGGTAATTCTTCATTTTGACCGTGGGCCCACAAAAAAAAAAGGTTTCCCATCCCAGCTTTAGAGTGGTTTCATGAAATTGAAAAATATCATTGGGGGGGTGGGGGGGGGCAGAACTAGGAAGCTAATATTAGAGAATATGGGGATAGAAATAGCTGACCAGCTGGCAAGTAATGCACCAATGCCAACAGGACAAAGCATAGACAGAGCCAAAATCATCAGTGCTGTACGGACTAGGTTGGGGGATAAGGTTGAATGTCTGATGCTAACACAGTTGGGCGACCGAGGAGTTAAGCTTGGTGAAGCACATCTTTGCTATCTTTGAGGTAAAGTTAGGAGATACTATAATGAACACCTTATGGGAACAATCAGTAGAGATACCTTGGAGTGGCTGCTGCATTAGATGACAGCATACTTGGGAATGCTCAATATGCAAAGCCATCGATTGTGATAACATATGATGATAGACACGTTTTCTGCATAGAAATATGTTCAAACCAGGAAGGAAACTGGTCTCTCTGCAACACAACTAAGTATTATCAGAACACCTCACACACCTACAACCAAATATGACTTTTGTTATTGATTGTATTCTGCAGTTATTACTTTGGTGTTCACAACAGAAAGACAGGTAAAATCCAGGTGATCTCTGCTGCTCTTTGTCAGCTGGAGCCAATGATAAATGGTATGTCAGTCTGTACATAAGTAACTATAGCTATTAAGTCATTTCCATGTCAGCTGGGGAAGACATAACATATATTAATTTCTGGAGTGCTGCAACATCTTATGTTGGGTATTTTTTAAATATGTATACACTTTTATGTATGCTATTTATTGTTTCCAGATAGTTTTCCTCTCCCCTATTTGTTGTAATTTTGAAGCCATGATAGTGTAATGTAGTGACTGTTTATCAGCACAAAGGTTTGGGTTCAGTCCCTAATAAAAACATAGTTATTGCAGCCTTGTTGTAAATCACAACACACCACCACCCTTGCACCAGTGAATGCAAACAAGAAACAGCATCCGATCACATCTATCAACAATTCATGTTCTGTAGTATATGAGGAGTCTGCCTCTGTGACTTAAATGTTGCAAACACGCTTCGTAATGCCTGGGTGCCGGGTTTGATCACAGCTGTGGGTCTTGTGTTGGTTTCAACAGTGGTATCCAGAAGCTGACCGTCCAGAAAGTAATGACAAACTACTGGACATAAATTTGCCTAGAAAATCCACAACAGCCAAAATGCTGGAGCTGGTTCTGCAACGTCATTAAAGGAGAAACAGTGATATATGAGGGCCACTCTAGTGTCATAAAATGGATTTGGAGTCATGCAGGCCACCCGTACAGATTTACCTTTAACTCCTAATCCAAGATTATTTTTTAATACAACTCTCTCTAGTGCTAAATTATTGTTTTTTTTTATAGTAAAAATATTCAAGTCCAAAGGGGTTTATAACACAGCTATGGGACTCCAAGAATGGCACTAATTAATGAGATAGACAGATTAACATATTAGAATAATGGGATAGTAGAAAAAAAAATAGGCATCATGTTTACAGCAACCACATATGCATAGTGAGTTGTTTGGTAATGAAAGTGTTGAGACTGCTTTAGAAATGTTTTTTAAAGAAGGACGAGGACAATCTATAGCACTAGAAAATCTGTTAAGTCAAAAGACATTCAGCCTTATACCCTACTTAGAATTGGGAACTGTTAAATAAGTACTGCTCAGTGGAGCAGGAGCATATTGTTTAGCTAAAACCTTTACTAATTAATTACATGCATTCATTAACTTAAGCTTTTTATAACAGAAAAAAATTATATTGTATGATCAAATCGTTAATGCAGAGCTTAGTGACAGAACTATAAACAAATTGAGGTTTAGCAATAAACGCTGTTGCTGGATAGAACACATATTGATGAAATGTGATAATAGTAAAGGTAGACTGTCTCTTCACTGGAAGCAGAGAGCAAAAGAAATGATCTAAAATACAAGGAGAAAAAAATTTAATAATAAACATGAATTATTATGGGTGGTGAACTGCAAAAGATGAGACGTTTCAAATTTGTTGTTTGCTTATCTACTACCGTGAGGTGTATGGCACACACACACGTAAAGTGTATGGCACACGCACATGTGAAGTGTATGGCACACGCACATGTGAAGTGTATGGCACATGTACATGTCAGGTGTATGGCGCACGCACATGTGAAGTGTATGGCGCACGCGCACAGACGAAAAAAATACTCTTAGTCTTTTTGAAGAAATTTTCCAGGAAGGATGTGGTGAAGACAGAAACTGATAATTTCAAGTCATTAATATCTGAAATTTGATTAATAATATCTAATTATTCTATCCAGACTTGTGGCAGTTGGATATTTATTTCCAAGGGTGCTTACTGTGCTGACACATGGTGTACTTGCTTTCTGCTTTCAGATAAGCAGATTGTTGATGAAGTAGATAACAAGTCTTTCAGGGAAAAGGTAAGGTAGAGTCTGCAGGAGAATGTAGGTGGTGGTTTCTAAATGTATCATTAGGTGACAGTAACAACGAATTTTATATCTCCATTCATTAGGTGGCGCTAGGTGTTGCGTGCGTATTCGCAACACAGAAACAAAATGGCGACTGTACTTACAGAGTGTACCCTCAAAGAACAACGTGCTGTTGCATGTTTTTTTTTAAGGGCATTCATAAGGAAATGCCTAATGTTTTTGCTGACAAATGTTTATTCCGTAAGTGGTGCACAGCTGTGTAAAAAAAAATTTTTCTCAAGATTGCTCTAAAATTGGTGATGGAGTCCGATCTGGTCGTCCTGTTGAGATTGCAAGAGATGCATCCGTGCAGCGGGCGGAGGAGATGATTAGAGGTAACAGTTGACTCTGTAGCAGCTGCAATAGGGTTCTCACATGGTTCAGCATACAACAATATGCATGATCGATTGACAGTTTTAGTCTTGTGAACACCCACCTCGGCGAGAGACATTTTGCGAATGACACTGAAAAAGAATGTGATGTGAACATATGATTTAGAAAACAGAGCACATAGTTCTTTGCAGCAGGTTTGGGAGGACTGATGGGACAAATGCATCAGTGTTTGTGGAAATTATATTGACAAATAGTGACAGTGTGTGTGTAAAAATAAAAAGTTTTCAAGTTGTTTAACGTTTTTTAAACAATCAGTTGTGACTTACTTATCTCCGCTCGTACTGTCTTTATTTGGAATAATGCTTGTGCTTTAAAGTAAGTTGTGTTTCCTTTTCTCACCATCTGTTTATTGCAATTCTATGATACATTAAGTGAACATTACAATCGTTGTATTTGCAGCGAGATGCCCTGGCAAAGGATTTTGGTTCTGGGCGTAACCAGAGAGCAGTCAACAAACGACTGAACAATGTACTAGATGATGATATGATTTCTGCAACTGCAGTATCTGTGGTGGACAGTCAGCATACCAAGGATCAAGTGACTGAACTTAGTGGTAATTTATTATTTTATTGTTTATTTTTTGTGTGTGTGGTTGACTTGAGGAAGAGTTATACACGAGTATGCCATTGGTTCTTTATGGCTTGGGCGTTTCTGATATGAGGCAGGGTCTTGTCTGTGCAAAGTAACACTTTATCTGGGTTTGCAGCATTCAGGGAAAGACAATATTAGCTCCATCTCGCTCCTCTGCAGTCAGCAGAAAGTCTTCATACTGATGGTACCCATAGTCATATGGTTAACTACTCATTAGGAGTGACAACCAGAACCTGCAGACGCTCCCCATGGCAAAATTCTCTCCTCATATGGGTTTTCAACAAGTGACACTTGCAAGGCAATACTTGTGAAGCAGGTCGACTAGTCAAGATGGCTGGAGTTAAGCCTACATTTTGATGTTGGACTGAGATGTGTGATAAGTAAAGTAAAAATTCAAAGACTCTTTTCCATTCCTTTGGCATATGGTGCTAGACCTGTAGTTTTATAGACCATTTAAGCACCTGGTGGTTGATGTGACGAACATCACGCCAACCACCTTTTCTTCCAAGGACATTACCTGGGTACCTGTTTTAAACAGTCAGCCTTGAAAAATATCTACCTCAATGTGGATTTGAGCCAGGGATCTTGAGGCTGGCAAGAGAGCATCTAGCCGTAATGCTTGTGAGTTGTTGTGTAGCCTAAACTCTTCTGACTCTGCAGGTTTCACAGCAGGTGCCAAAATTGAGTAGTAACCACAAAAAAATATTGCTGCACTGCTTTCCCAAAGGCTAAATATTCATATTTAATGTGTCTTCAGTTACCTGTGTTGGCTCCTCTTGGTTGATCTTTGCTTCTCCTTCCATTATTTTTACTACTTTCAACAAATATAAATATTTAATGTCTTCAATGATGCATGTGCACCTCCATGCTTTTCCTTCCTTCACTGTCTTCCTTGACCACTGGAGTGATTAATGCCTAATAACCTCAGTTTTCAAAGCCTGTTGCTGTTTAAGAGTTAGGTTTCTGCTGGGTTAATATTTTGTTGTATTTCATTGATGGAATTGTTAGGAGGATGCCTCGAGCACTTGGGGATGATGCCAAGGAAATTGAGAAAAGAGATAAATGTACGCATAGCTTGGAAATATGGATGGTGGTGAGATAAGAACACTGATCTGAGATCAAATGAGATGGCCAGACTTGACAGCCTTTGCTTAATGCCACGACATGTGATGATGATAATGATATTGATGATAACTGCTTCTTTGTTTCTGGTATTTTATATTTGGTATTTAATCCAGACAGTTTATATTCAGTAGTTAATTCCATTTTATGTGCTTGCATTTGACTTGAAACAGTTTATGATCATTGACATGTTTTTTTTTTATTCCATCATTCAGCAGAAACAGTGAAGTCAGAAACATCGGCAGTGCCACCACACAATAAGGATGCCACCACACCTGATGAAGTATATAAGCTCAAAGATTGTAAATATATATCTTTTTTATTTTTTCTGATTTTATTTACGAAGACAGAAATTTTGATTTGCATTAACAAGTCAACAGCAGATTTTCAAAACCTAATCACAATATGGAAATCTAAATTATATAGTTTTAAAAAGGAGTTTGTCCTACTACTAGGCTGTCTACCGGGCGGCAGATGTTTTATTGCTCTGCCAAAGAAACCAGGCATTTTAAAATTTGAAGACCATCGCACCTTAAGTCTTATGAGCCAAATGACAAAAATGATACTAAGAATAATTATGAGAAACAAGATTAAACCAGAAAATAATGAAGAACGGTGTGAATTTGTAGAAGGAAAAGGTACCAACGATGCCATATACATCCTCAGGATTCTTTTTGAAAAAAGCTATAGAAGTATTTTTAGACCCCCAAAAAAAAACAATGTTTACTTATACTTCAGTGACTATATGAAAATATTTGATTGTGTGAAACATGAAGAACTAATCAAACAACTGGAAAAGATCTATGAATTATAAAGAATGTGTATTGGCAGCAAACAGCAGCTATAGAAATTAATAACCATTTGGGAACATTTCAGAGCATAAAGAGGTTAGTATGACAAGGATGTTTACTATCACCTGATTTGTTTTCATTATGCGGTGGAAATATAATAATGAGATCTATCATGGATGTGCCAGGAATTGTGGTCATAACAGAAGCAACCTGTTTTATGCTTATGGCACCATCTTTATAGTGACAATTCAGAAAGAACTACGGGAATTGACAGTGGTGGTAGAAAATGATGAAATGGGCTCCAGTTTCAATAATGGGGAGATAGAAGTAATAGGGGTTTCCAAGAAGAGAATAATGCTAAATGTACAATACAAGTCAAAGGTGTTATTTTAGGACAAGTACAGAAATTAAAGTACACGGATAACATCTGATGGAAGATGTATCATAGAGATGAAGAACAGAATAGGACAGGCCCAAACTATATTTTTTCCATTTGTATGAACTGCAATGTTTTATTTATTTCTTATAAATTAATTTTGTTGTTTTCTTCCAGTGATCAGCTCAGAAGTATTAAGCTCTATGAGCTTCAAAGCTCAAGTGTTTGCTGGATGTACACGAGAAAACATCGTTGAGTGGAGAGAAAAAAAAGAGTAAGTCGCATCTTGTGATTGTATGCTGGGCGTTTACGAGAAAACATCGCTGAGTAGAGAGAGAGGAAAGAGTAAGGCAGATCTAGTGGTTGTTTGCTGAGCGTATACGAGAAAACATCGCTGAGTAGAGAGAGAGGAAAGAGTAAGGCAGATCTAGTGGTTGTTTGCTGAGCGTATACGAGAAAACATCGCTGAGTAGAGAGAGAGGAAAGAGTAAGGCAGATCTAGTGATTGTTTGCTGAGCGTATACGAGAAAACATCGCTGAGTAGAGAGAGAGGAAAGAGTAAGGCAGATCTAGTGGTTGTTTGCTGAGCGTATACGAGAAAACATCGCTGAGTAGAGAGAGAGGAAAGAGTAAGGCAGATCTAGTGGTTGTTTGCTGAGCGTATACGAGAAAACATCGCTGAGTAGAGAGAGAGGAAAGAGTAAGGCAGATCTAGTGGTTGTTTGCTGAGCGTATACGAGAAAACATCGCTGAGTAGAGAGAGAGGAAAGAGTAAGGCAGATCTAGTGGTTGTTTGCTGAGCGTATACGAGAAAACATCGCTGAGTAGAGAGAGAGGAAAGAGTAAGGCAGATCTAGTGGTTGTTTGCTGAGCGTATACGAGAAAACATCGCTGAGTAGAGAGATAAAAAAAAGAGTAGGTCACATCTAGTGGATGTTTGCTGGGTCTACATGAGAAAACATTGTTGAGTGGAGAGAGAAGAAAGAGTAAATCAGATCTAATGTTTATTTTCATATGAACTTCTGTTTTTCACCCTGAAAATAGAGGTAGACATACTGTGTTGTGGTTTGCGGCTAGGCTGTGATATTTGCACCATTGGACAAAACACATCAGATTTCATCAAACTCAATCACCTTTTACAGTGTTTCTTAACTCTTTGAGTCCCAGTGGGTTTAGCATCAAAGGCCCAAGGGGTAGTCAAAAGAGACCTAAAATCGGCCCATCTTTCGTTTATTGGGCCTCTAGGTAGGAACCTATGAACGTATGGTGCGTTCCTTGGGACTCAAAGAGTTAAGGTGCATTGGGTCTATTCTCTTTCCCTAGAAATGGATTCATGGAACCCACATGGAGAGACTTAAGTTTTCTTTCTGTCTTGTATTTTGCAGTTGCAGAAAGGACACCATCATCCATGACATTGTTGTCATTTGTTATTGCCTTCTGGTTACGTCTGGAACCACAGAGTCATTTCCTAGGGCGTCTCTCTTTAAGCACATTGATCATTGTGTTCATTTAATACATGGCAGCAGTTGTGGTCAGTTTGTGAGAAAACTAGATGCCGATCGATTGATGAAATTGTGATCATCTGGCGACAAAAGCAAACCCTCGTTAGTGATAATTATTGTGAAGAGCAGGTATCAGAACAGTCTCTTCGGTGCTCAGTCTCCGAAGGCTGGGATGGCAAGAACATACTCTGAAGATGGTAAAGTCCACAAGGATGTCCTCTATGGTGAATTACAGACCGCTAGAAGATGTTGTGGTCAGACTCTTCTGTGATATAAAGATGTATGCTAGTGGGAAATGAATGATACACACATTGAGGTGGATTCATACGAACAGGATTGCATTGGATCCCATTTCATAGGGTGGTGAAAATAGGAAGGGAAAAGGGAGAAAAGGACTGCAGATACGTTAAGAGCTGAACGTCTAAGAGGAAGCATGTCAGATATATCTAAAGGCAACAGTGATCCTGAAATGTCATTTGTGTATTGTCGGAGATTCTTCTCAATGTGAAGGGGTCTTGCTAGCCACACAGGCCACCAACTTGGGCTGTGATTTCCTTGTCTCCCTGAAGCACAGTATAACATTATCATCTGTAAAAGTGCAAATATGCCATCAACATTGATTGATACTATATTTTGTGGAACACTTGTTGCTTGTGCTAGTCATACATTTCCTAGCTGTTTTGTTTTTGTCTTTTTGGTAATAAATATGATTAATATTTCTGAGCAACTTACATAAGAATAAAGATCTCTGTGTTGGTTCCGGGGCCCTGTTGTGGGAAAGACAAGAATAGACCCATTGCCTCCCAACAAGCATGTCGTAGAAGTCCACTAATTGGGGACTTCCTTCGAAGTCGGAGGGCATCTGCCTGAGCAGCAAGAAACAACCGACACACAGATAAGCCAAAGTCCACATGGATGAACAACCAGGACTTTCTGCCGGAGCTTACAACCAGTGAACAAAGAAGAAGATATGACTAAAGTGTAACCTTTGTGTTTTCTATTTTTTCCCCCAGATATTTCAGTTTTATTTTGGACAAACTGGAAACTTTATCTCTACGAGAAGATGCCCGAATGTTGCAGAGCCAGTATCTCATGTACCTGCAATACCTGATGAAAGTTTATCTTATGAAGTCCAAGGATTTGGCTAGAAAATGTTTGTATTATTTATAACTACTCAGTTATATTCTTTACCATTTTGATATCTTATTTTCGTGTACTATCATTGTATGTCTTAAAAAGTAAACAGTAAGGGCTTACTTTTGAGGATTATACCTTTGATTTGATTCTTCTTCTTTTCCTTATTTTTCATCATCTTGTTCTTTTATTTGTCTCATTTCTAAAACTACAAAAATATTCGACTTTAAAAAAATTGTTTTTTTCCTCTGCTTTTTTTCCTTTTTGGTTACTGCCTTTTCTTGTTCCTATGTTTTCTTTTTTTGTTTTCTGCTTAGATGACAGTCAGTGAGGGGCATCTCTTAGCTTGTTAACCAAGGTACATCTTTCCAGTCAGTCATGTACCGTCTCCACAGTGAAGGTTGGCTAGAGTAGATCTCAAACATGCTTTGTCACCCTGGAGATACACTCTTTCAGACTTCTGTTTGTCCATCTCTGGATTTTATCGCTGTCTGTTTCTTGCTAACTTGCATTTAACTTTCCCCCTAGAAAGTTTTTTTTTAAAAAGTGTTATGTCTTTAAATATGGCCAGATGATGTATCTTTTTTATTTCAAGAGAAACCTAACAGAAATAAACACCAACTTGTTGGTTCCTCGCCTCTCAAGCAGAGGCACCTGACTTTGACGGAAAGACCCCTAATCAATCAGCACCTACAACATGATTGTTGGGGAGGCAGTGGGTTTTTTTCCCCAGGGCGCTGGAACCTACACAAGGATATTTGCACACAGCTTTGACTATGGGGGCCATATTCCCTTTTAAATGGGTTGCATAAGGGACAGTCTTGTAAGGCATTTTCTGCAGTTTGTATGTGCACAGTGGTGAACTGCTGAAACAACATGTTTAGTTTTATATCCCTAGTCATGTGGCGTAGAATGATGATCTATCTGTGCCGGTCCTGTAATAGCCATCACTGGCTTGATTCTGTTCATTTCTGATAGACTGTGTGATGTGTTTTCCATCATAATAAATGTTGTCATTGTCTTGCTGTTCACACGAGCTGTTTGAAAGTTTATACTCCATTGGGAGATAAAAGGCAGAGGAACTAACTATTTGGCATGATTGTTTTTTTCTCCTCAGTCCCTCTTCCTTCAGACTGGCCAGCTGCAGTCTCAAAACATATTTTGGAGACTTTTACTAGAGAAATTAGTGAACCAGGCAAGAGATTTCAAAGGTAATGAGATGTATTATATTGATGATTGTATTTCTTTACAAGACTTCATCATAAAACTAGAAATAATATAGCCACAGAGTTTTCTGGTCTCCTCATGAGACACTGTTGGATACAAGCACGTTTCCACATAATATGACCAGTTCTTCTTCATCATCATCATTCTGAGCCTTTGAGGTTCATTGTTGTAGATATCACTTGTCTCTGTGCATCTGATTGGCCTTGTCTTTCCAGATGTTGACTCCAGGTGTTTATAGATCTGCCTGTATATTATCTCCTTCTATCTGTAGCAAATATGTCTTCTTCGTGTATGTTGATGTCACACCCTGGTTCGTCTTTAGTTTGCTGCAGAAAGAGTCGGAAAGGTATAGACGAGGAGAAAGATAGTCCTGTCTCTGGTGGTGATGATCATGGTCTCTCAAGCTTGCTGCATGCTTCTCATGCCCCTGATGCCTGCGTAATAAAATGTCTTGAAACAACTTTTTTCCGATATACTATCTTTATTTTGATATTTTAGTAATGTCATAAACAGCATCAGTGATATTCTGAGTGGCCACTGTTTTAGCTCTATGATTACATACTCTTGAGGTTTAGTTGTGTTCTTTATCTATAGTTACTTTGATAACTGGTTCTAGTGTCTGTAACTACCACCTGGCTTCTAATGCTGTCTGGAACTAACGGCTTAATCGTCGACTCTGACATCTCAATAGTGTTTCTGTCTAATGTGTCTCTGTTGACCATGGATCCGCGTATCTGGTGTGTCGTCTCTGTGGCTCGATGTCTTGTTTCATGTCTCCTCTCTAGTGTCTGTCTTCGAGGCTTCATGTGACTGGCTCCTCTTCTTCTAATGTTGAGCTGGCATCTCCACATCTGCGAGGGTTCATAAGACTAGTCCCTCATCTGAGTCTCAAGGGCTGAAGTTACCTATATACTGAGATGCTGGAATGCGTGGTATGTGTTTTGTACTCACCAACTTATTTGGGATTTTCTAATTGCATTTGGATTGCATCGGATAGTCTACACCAAAATATACTTATTGGATTGACAAGTGTCCTTCTATGGCCTTCTAGAAAATCAGTACGATAAGGCTCCTGTTCTTTGATATGGCATGTCAACGATTACATCAGGTGCTGTTTATATAACTAGGTTATTCATTTGCAAATAACGATAGTTCTAGAAAGAAATATCCAATTTGCGAAGACCTGTTGACTTCCCTCCCTTCAACTAATACGCAATATCCTACCTCCTGACACACAAGTGATGAGTCGTCTCCCTGTTACATATTTTCTTTGTCTGCCCTGTGGTCTACAAGGTCCGACAATTAAGTATTGTGACTAATTCCATACAAATTTTTAAAAATAAACAGTTGAAGATATCATCTGTATTTTATGCAAAGTAAGCCCTTTGTGCAATGATACGGCAAGTGGCACTATCTAACAAACTCTGGAACGACCACTGTAGTTCTTCTGTTGTTATGACCCTTAAAGTCAATGTTACGGCCCTTTGATGTCATCAATATCGTTAAAGAAGCGTCCTTTCAATCGTAACTTTAATTTTCAGAATAGAAAATAATCACAGTGAGACAAATCTGGGGAATAGGGTGGAAGGCTGAGAACACACACTTGTTTTTTGGGCCCAAAATTTTTGTTTTCATGATGTGTCTTGGGTACTCAACCCGCTGATGTTTTTGGTAATCAGACAATGAATGTGGTACAAACCGGCAAGCAACTTTTTTCTTGCCAAAATCTTGCACTAAAATTGAATGAATGGTCTCTTTATTAACACCAGATTCATCTGCCATCATTCTCACAGTAAAACCGTGATCTTCTTGTATCCATTTTCTGACTTTTGCAATGAGTTCATCATTACGAACAGAAAGTTGGCACCCAGGTCTGGGTGCATTAATAATCATTTCCACACCACTTTTGAATCCTGGATGCCACCTGAAAATGTATGCACGAGATAAACAATTATCCCCATAAACTTGTTGAATCAGCTGTTTCTTCTTCTTCTTCTTCACTTCCTCTTTTACCGCTTTGGGTGTCGAGGGAGATATAAGGTTCTGTTTCTGGCTCTTCTGGCCGCCTCGACCATAGGCACATCGTGCTGTTGTAGAGCTTTTCTGATGTTATCCTTCCATATTGTTCTTGGTCTACCTCTTGCTCTCCGACCTTCTTCTCTTTCCATGTATGCTTTGAATGGTATGGTGTCACAAGGCATTCTCTCTAAGTGGGCTGTTTCAATGGTGCTTTTTCTGAGTTTTGAAAAAGAATTTAATGTTAGCTTTTTTTATCCGTGCTGATTAAGTAACAGTACACCTGACTAGGTCAACAAAATGGTGGCTTGTTTGTTGTCTGCTTGTCGAGTGGTGATAAAAAGTTGCCAGATCAAAGATGAATGTTGCCTCTTTAGATACCATGCTTTGCTTCACAGATGGCATTTTTGTCTTGTCCATAATAAAATCAGTCTCATTACTTAATTGTCGGACCTTGTATTACAATTGGACTCTGCGTTCACATTTTGTGTCTTAGTTATCTACTGTTCTCTCTACATACCCCAACCAGTGCAGTCTGTTAGCCTTCATGGTCCCAGTAATTAGTGATGATTTACAGAAAGAATGAAAACTTAATTTTTTTTTTTAGCAACCTGGGAGCATTTTCTGTAAATGTTTTCTGTGCTGACTTATAAACTGAAATTTGAAAAGCAACATCAAAATGAGTCTGATGAGCTTTTTAATATTTTTTAAAAATACATTGTTCTGAGAAGGTTAGATGTCATATTCACCATCTTATAGTCAGAGAGAGAGAGATATAATCATGTTATTCCTTCTCTTATTTTTAAGATGAGGCAGTCTTTCTTCTGACAGATGAATACTATAAACTGGTCAGGGAAATGAGTGTTTTGGGAATATATTGTGAGAAGGAATTTACTCGAAAACTCTTTAGTTAGGGGAGGGGGGAGGCATAGAGATAAACACCTGGATGGTTTAACATGGATGTGAGACCTGAACACTGACCTGATTCATGTTTCTGGTAATTGTGTTAGATGGCGAAACAACCTACGACCATGCTTATCAGTACAGCACATCAGCCTCACTAACAAGCATAACAAAAAAAGACACCTAATTAATTAGAGATTTGTTCTTCAAAATCAGAGTGCATCTGCCTGCGCTGTGAGGAACCAGCAGTCTGCACACAAATAAGACGGAAATCCAGAAGTGGACAAACAATCAGAACTTGGCTCAGGAATTACTGCTTGTGAAGTTTAAGAAGAAGAGAAACACAGTAATCGGTGTAAAATGGGCCATACTTCATGAGACCACATCTGGTGTTTTTACCTTTGATCTTCTCCATCATATAAACAAATTGTTATCCTAATTGTCACTTCAGAAAAACAAACAACACGACTAATGAATATAGAAGAGGATGTGTTTACAAGAAGAATGCTTTCTTTTCCCTCGCAGATGTACCCCAAACCGGTTAAAAGATCTCCTGCTATCACACATTCTCGTGCTAAGCTTGAAGCTGAGTCAGTTTTGTCTGATACTGGATCCATTGATGATTGATTTGAATCTTTCCCACAAAAGGTGAGCTCAAGAGTCATTTTCTGTCTATCTTTGTACATCAGAATCTGCTGCATGTGTATCGGTGTTGGCTTCCAGCATGCCACTAATGGGTCACACAACCATAGATGTTACTGTCAGTTTCACGCAAAATAAAGCAGTGGAGACTTCAGGTCTGAAATGGAGGATTGGACATGGTAGAGTGTTTAGCTTCGAAGTTATTTTTTTCCGGCAGCGCTTTACTAATGCAGTTTCCACATATGGACGGTAGTCTACGGTTTCGCTAAATGAGCCACTGAGTTTGGTGCTTTCTGCAGCCCTATGAGCTGTGTTTTTCATGTGGAATGCCTTTCATTTGTACAGCTAGTGTGTCCTGATATTCAGAATTGTTGGTAGCCGGTTTACCTGTGAGCTGGTGAAATAGCTTTTACATGTGTATAGCCATCTTATCGTGCCTGACTACCTCCATCAGCAACAAGCTGCATTTCTGGTGGTGACTGTTGGCTTTGGCATCTCTAGAAACTGCCATAAGCATTTACTGCATGCACATATACAGTTCAAAAAAAGAAACACAGTTATCCCATGGCACGTTTTTGTTAGCTTGTAAATCAAATATCGTACTCGGGTATGTGAAAAGCAGACTCAAATGTTATTTACAGTGGACATGTGGGCGTGAATTGCGTGGGTTTTTGTAATCGTTACAACGCAGTGGTCAGTTGTGTTAAGGACTATATTTGTGATCATAGCTCATAATGCACGCATGAGAAAGCAACACAATTTGTGGTGAACACTATTCACTGCCTAACACAATTTAAACCCTATAAATTGATAATGCTACACCAAAATGATCACTTCATTTTGAAGCAGTCATGAATGGCGCCTCTATCGATAAATTTACAGAATATTGCTATTGGCCCATTGCAGGCTGGAGATAGTCAAAATCAGGTTGCAAGGCATCTAAACGTGCATCAGAGTACCATCAGTCGACTTTAGCACCAGCTCCAAGTCACTGGTTTAGTTAAAGACCGACATTGCAGTGGATGACCCAGAGTGACAACAGCAGCTTAATATCACTTTATTCAGCTTCATCACCTCAGAGACAGGTTTACAACAGCTTCCTCAACTGCACAGGCATTGCCTAGAGGACGTCATGTGTCTGATCAAACTGTTCGGAACAGACTGCATGATGTTGGATTTTGGGCTTGACGATCACACCAAGGACCTGTTCTTACCCATCGCCACCGCCAAAATCGACTCTTTGGGCCATCAACATCGTCCCTGGGCAAGTGAAAATCAGTGGAGACATGTCTGGTTCAGTGGCGAATCTTTCTTTTTGTAGCAGCCTCATGATAGACGGCGTAGGGTCTACCATAGACGAAATGAAGATTTAGCCCAAAATTGTGTTGATGAAGCTTTGCTGCATGGTGGTGGAGGTGTAATGGTGTGGAGAATTATCAGTTTCAACAGGAGTCAATAGGTACACATTGAAGGAAGCTTGAATGTGCAACGATACGTCCATGAAATTCTTCTACCACATTTCTTTCCGTTTTGGGATGCAACAGGACAACGCCAGACCCCATTCTGCACAGCTGATCACGCAGTTCCTGGCTGACAATAACATTCAAACCCATCCCCGGTTATTCCTATCTGCAGACATGAGTCCGATTGAGCACCTGTGGGATGAGCTGCAAAGAGGTATTTGTCGCCGAGACGTTGCTCCAGCCAGTGGTTGTGATCTGTTCCAGACACTCCAGGAAGAGTGGGCAGCCATCCCACAGGCCCACATCAGACATCTGATTGCATCCATGCCCAGAAGATGCCAGTTGCTGATCCACGCAAGAGAAGGCCACACACCAAACAAACTAACGGGAAAGGCCTACGCTCAAAAACTATCATGAATTCCAGATGCAAAAAAAAAGGTGTCAATTGATTGTTGGAACCCTAAAGTATTCTTGTGTGAAATTTAAGTAATTTCACTTACTGCATTACAAAGATGCAGAATGTAAAAATTGTGAGTGTGTTTGTTTCTGTTTTTGTTGTTTTTTTAACAGCATATTTCTGGATTGTGCAGGGACTAATTGTTAATTCACCAGTTTTTCAAATGGGACAGTAAGGGAGATTTTAATTGATTTTCAATGGTGCAGGATGTTGGAAGTATGGGGACCCGATTGCAGTGAAGCCGAAACCTTGACTAAGACTATAATGAACACTCATGATGGGTAATTTTTGTGAAGGCTGTAAACGGCTGTTAGTTAAAGATACAATAAGGAACAACAGATACAAGCAGTTTTCCTTGCACTTTGAATGTTGTCAGTTGGTTTCACAGACTCTGCCTTTCTGTTTAGGAGTGCGATTGCGGCGTTAATCCTGTTAGCATTAGGATAGCAATAACAGCAATTTAAATATTGAAATCTGTTGCTAACTGTTGTTTGCAGGATCACCACCCATGCCATAACCCTGGGCTGTACCATCAAGAAGACTAAAGGCAACATGGACAAGGATGTCTACACTGCTGTGTTGACTGTACCTTTGAAATTTCCAGAAGTCAAAGGGAAGCGGGCGAAGAATAGAATTTTTTGATGTTACGTATATGTATCGTATTCTTTTGGTGTGCTTCTGCGTCAACATGTGCAAGGAAAAATAGTTGTTTGGCTAACTTCATGTCATGGCTGGAAGTGGTAATGGTCCATTTTTTGTGATGTGGAAAGTTGTATTGGACAACTTTATGTAATGAGGAATGTCTCACTTTTCAGAGGTCACATTAAAACACTTGTTTTATGCTTGTGTGGCTTAATGTTTCGTACGATATTTAATGTGAATGCTGTGTGCATGGATGAGCCATATTTTCTTTGTTAAAAGTCATGCCGTTCCTTATAAGACAGAAGAAGACGCATTTTTGTTTCTGTCTGGTGTAGAGTGCAATGCTTCAGAGGGAGATGGAGGAGTATTTGATGACAATTGTTGAATAGGCCGAACAGAAACATAATAAAGAGTTCTTTTGGGAACTGACAGTCTTATTTTATTTGTCATTGCTACACTTGTTTTTTGGTTTGTTGCCTGTGAGTGTGTTTCATCTCTGGGGCAAGGGCCTAAACCCTGGGTGTGAGTTTCATGTATCATCTTCTTCTTCTTCTACATTCGACATCAGTCATGCTAAACATGACTGGGTCACAAATAGGATTGTGCGTTTAAGGTTGCCACCGGTCCCCCATAGCTTCTATTGCAATGTGGCTCCTTTAGGCCAGATCCACAGTCTTTGCTGGGAGAGGTAAGGGCAGTACTGTAGTATGTGCTCAGGGGTCTGTCTTTCTGCTCCACAATCACAGGCAGCAGATTCTTTTTTGCCTATCCTGTACAGGTGTGCTCAAAGACCATAGTGTCCTGTCTGAAGTCTAAAAAGTGATGTTTGTTCTTTCCTGTTCAGTTTGTTTATGCTGTCACTCTCTGGTCTGTAATCTCCATTCTGCCTTCTCCACTCCCGCTTGAAAGACTGCTTTAGCGCTGTTTTGGTTTCCTTGTAGCTGTGTGGTGGATGAGGTTGTGGAAGATTACTTCCAGCTTTTGCCAACTCAACTGCTCTCTTAATTCTCTACAGGTGGAAATTGGTGGCTTAAGTTGGAACCTCATAAATATATATGCCAAGGTAGACTGTTTTGTCAGAGGGAAACAATGGAGCTGGCTCAAGGAACTGGAGGAGTTACCAGGTGATCAGATAGGTTACTCATATGTGGGGATTTCAACGCGAGGAACAGAGAATGGGACAGCAGTGGAGAAAACCGACAGGCCATGGTTGACTCCGATATGGTCTGCATCAATAATGGGAGGCCGACTAGAATGGCAATGAGGTCTGGAGATGCAGACACAGCCATTGGCTTGACATTTGTCTCTCAGTCGTCGGTTTTAGATGTTAAATGGACTGTCCTGAATGACCATAGGAGTGATTACCTACCATGTTCAGTCTTGAGTTCTAAACTCAGTAAGGTTAAGGTTGGGAGAGCACGCAAGACCTTCCAGTATAAGTGGACCAACAGCCTACTTGGACGCCTTAGACAGGGAGTATGCAAAAGAAATGCCAGAACCAATTTTCTACAGCCCCCATGGTTGTCTCCAGAAGTAAAACAGGCATGGAAGGCAAAGAGAGCCGCAGTGAAGCAGTTAAAGAAAGTATGACAGACACCCTCAAGCTCACCAGAGGAAGTGGAGATGACAGAGAATGTGAAAAAAGATATGGTGGAGGTTTTCAAGCCCTGTGCTGCAGAGGCCAAAAGAGCAAAGTGGGAAACTTTTATGAATGACATGGGAGGCAATAAAACATTGGGGAAATTCTGGAAACTGCAAAGAAAAGATCGGCCTATGACAGTCGGAACAATTTGTAGAGATGATGTTGTGCATGTGACAACAGACAAGGAGAAAGGGGAGGCTTTTCTCCATAGGTTTATAGCTCAGACAGATCATAATGATGTAGACATTAGGGATGCAGTTAGAAAGGAGTTAGCTGGCACCTTGAAGAATATGCATTATGGAGACATGATACAAGTGGAGGATATCAAACAAATTTTGAAAAAAGCAAAAGACACTGCACCAGGGCCTGATGGAGTCAGGTATGGTCACATGAAGGCTTTGAGCGATGTAGACCTGGCAGAGATGGCCGACTGTTTTAACCAGAGTATTAAGACAGCATCATTACCGCAAGACTGGGTGCACAGCTATCTAATACCACTACCAAAACCTTTTAAAGATCATTCTAAGCTTAGTGGCTTTAGAATCATCACCTTACAAAACACATTTGGGAAGGTCTTGGAGAAGATAGTTGCTGTAAAGTTACAAGAATTTTTGGAAAGGGGGAAGCTTCTTCCAAGAGGTCTGGGAAGTTACAGGCCAGGAAAGGACACTTGGGCAAATGCGACCACTTTTGCTTTTGACGTCTTTGAAGGGTTCCAGAACAGGCAGGAAACTATGGCGGTAGGACTGGATCTCGAGGATGCTTATAACAGAGTGAGATACGACATCTTAATGACTGCACTGAGGGAGAAGGTCAATCCGTGGCTGGTGAATTGGGTTGCAGCTGTTCTGTATTCACGTCGGGTTGCTCTCCGACTGGGCTCATGGACCTCTGAACCATGCACTTTGGCCCCAGGACTGCCACAGGGATCCGCCATCTCGACTGCTCTTCAACGTGTATACGAGCAAGATTGCAAGCATAGAAGCACCAGGAGTTGGAAGGATACTGACTTTTGCGGATGATATACTTGCATATAGGCAGGGGGAAGAGAGGGAACAAACAGCTCGGGAGCTACAAGCGACAGTAGACAAAGTGACTGAGTGGTGTACAGAAATGAAGGCTGTCGTCCACCCGGAAAAGGCGTCTGTTTTGTGGTGTTCTCTGGACAACAGAATCGTTAAAACTAATGTCCCAAGTCTCACGATAGATGGTAGAGACGTCAACAGAGAGAGCAAACTGAAGTATCTGGGAATTACATTTGACAGGAGCCTGTCATTTAAGGACCATGTGGAGAGTGTTGTGACGAGATGCCAAAAAGGACTCAGTGCACTTAAGACTATGGCTGCAACTGACATATAGCAGAGAATGCTTTTCAAACTATATCAGCACCTGATCCTGTCAGTGGTGGATTATGGCCTGGGACTGCCTACCGTCTCAAAGAGTCAGATGGACAAACTAGAGCGCATACAGAACGCGGCTATGCGGGTCATTCTGGGTTGCACCAGAGACACCCCAGTGGTGTGTATGCGCTACATCCTTGGTTTGCCGATGGTTGCAGGTAGGCACAAGGTGATGCAGGCGAAGTCATATCTCAGGGTAGCTGCAGACACATACCACCCTCTGCATTAAGCTCTGGGTGCAGTTAAGGGTCAGCGGCTGATAAGAGGGAGGTCGTGGATGGCTCAGGCAGAAGACACAATCAGACAGGTTTGCATCCTTGAGAACATTAGGCGAGGAGAGGAGTGGGTCAAAGTGCCACCTGAGCAGTCAGACTTGTGTAGAGTCATAATCACACTGAGCCGGGAATTCAGAGACTGGACAGCAGGTGCCACAGAGGTGGAAATTCAGCAATTAATTCAAGATAATGCTCGCTCAGAGAATTTGATCATTTACACAGACGGTTCAGTGTCAAGAGGCAAAAGAAGTGCTTGGGGCTTTTTAGCAAAAGTTAATGGTCGACGTTTGGTGCAGGAGAGCCTAGCATATGATACCACAACATCCAGCTTAAGAATGGAGGTGGAGGTGGTCACTGCAGCTTTCCGCTGGCTAGAGAACACGACACACACACACACATTGTAATTGTAACTGATTCAGAAAGCATGCTGAGGAAGATCAGAACAGGTATGATTCGTGCAGAGTGGCATGCTTCGCTGCGGAGGACACGAGTGAGGAGTATTGTCTGGATTTTTTCACCGGGTTATGCCGGTGTGTTGGGAAATGAACAGGCGGACAGACTGGCTGGCTCTGCACAACTTGGTGGAATACTGCTACATTATAGGGCAGACATGGTTAGTGCCTTGTGGGAGAGCGTGTACAATGCGGAGGAGCAGATGGATCACCACAGTCTGGTGAGATTGATGCAGTTGGGGGTGACGAGAGGTTCTAGCAGAAGCTCAAGGCTCAGAGGAAAGGCAAGACGGACGTTTAATCAGAAAGCTACTGGCACCATTAGTATTGGAACTCTTCGCTGGCTGCTGAAGATGGGGACGGAGCGCTTATGGGAATGCCCCGAGTGCTGTGATGTCGGTTCTTGAATCAAATCAAATCTTAATTCTCTAAATACCACAGTGTGCTTGTATCCACTGCAAGACCAGTTCTGCTTCCTTGGTCATGTATCATCAAAAAGGATGCCCTTTACTCAGTGTTGCTCCCATCCTAGCACATCTGGGGGAAAGGACCACTCAATTCCTCGCCAGCCCTCCCACATTATGCACTATCTTGCCCAAGATTTGTCTTTTGCCTATCCTCATGCTGGTAAGTCCCTGCCTCTCTTAGCTGGTACCATGCCCTCTGCTACTGTTCTTTCCACTCCACCTTGACATGTGGGTATAGCCAAATTCATATCCTATCGATATTGTTAAAGGTTTTATGAAGACAAAAAACGGGGGGGGGGGGAGTCAGGAGAAAAAATAGTAGCGGCAGGTTTCTTTTTCTTGTCAATGGTTAGATGAAAGCAACAAAACAACTGGTTTTATGAGTAAGTAGCTAAATGTAAATAAGATGTGAATGATGAACCGCAGGCTTTTGGACCCTCTGCCCTCATCCACACCTTTTTTTTTTTTTGACACTGCAAAAGTGGCAAACGCAAGCAGTTAATACATTCTAATAATGTTTGTGCAATATAGTGTCATTAAAAGCTTGCTAATAACACCCCCCCCCCCTTTTTTTTCCCCACCCCCTATAGCGACAGTTTAAAAATAAAGCGTGCACGTATTTCGCATCAAAGGGGCATAATTTCGTCAGCCAACGGCATTCTAAAATAGAAGTAGCTATTGAATATTCGTTATGTGTACTATTATGACCAGCGCACGGTGGATATGGGGTTGCGTTGAACTCTGGTCACCTGTTTATTTTGTTA